TGGAGATGAACCAGGACCATCACGAGAACAGGAAAAGATTTCAGCTGTCGTTCAGGCAAGCACATTGTCACCTGGCTGCTCCGGTGCTGATAATGGGGCCTGGAATTAGAGGGTAGGTAAGCCAAGCAGCTGGGATCCCGGATCCCTGAAGGGGGCATTGACAAAGCAATTGGAAAAGGGGCAAAAGCACTTAGCCTCTGGAGGTGACTCCTGTCAGGTGTGAAGGGAAGTTATCCCTTCAAGGAAGATGTTATATGTCACCCAGGCACGTGGACCACCATGGAGAGAGGTATCCAGTACCTGAGGGCTGAGGAATTAGCCATGCTGGAGGTGATTTATGATAACCTGAACAATGAGCAATTATCCAAAGATCCAGATGAAGTCAGGTGCACACGACCCATGTGGCAGAAGTTTGTATGGAGCACACCATCATCATATGCCAACTCATTGGCAGTAATGACCTGGAAAGACGGAGAGGAACAAATGGTGGATGAATTGGCTGGCCAACTCCGGCAATAGGAAGAAAGTCTCTCTTCCTCCCTATGGACCTGCGTCTCAGCTGTGGAGAAACTGCCGGACATGTTAGCTGAGGAACTGTCCTGGGAGTTCCAGTGATTCAAAGAGGATATGTCCTACTCCCCACCTGTACGGACCTGTATCTCCTAATGGTTTAGGAGTGAGTGTTCCTCTGCTCAAGAGGGAGGATATAGTGGATACACACTACGTGACCACGGAGAGGACATGAGAAAGGGGGATGGAAAACCTACCTTGACCCTAGAGGCACAGGTATGTGAGTTGCAAGGAAAAACAATCACAAAAGGGGGTTCTTCCAGCAAAACTGCTGCTCCGGTTTCAAGTGAGTAGTTCCCCAGACAGAGTAGAAGGGCTGATTTTACTTCCAATCTCAATAAAGGGACTTTTGACTCGCATTTACAAGTGAGTAATGAATACTATGATGAGGACTAGAGGGGCCCTGCCTCCAGCCAGGTGGAGGAAGGAGACAACCGGGTTTACTGGACTGCATGGATTTGATGGCCTGGCACATCAGACCCACAGGAGTATAAGGCTTTAGTAGACATCAGTGCACAGTGTACCCTAATGCCATCAAGCTATAAAGGGGCAGAACCTATCTGTATTTCTGGAGTGACAGGGGGATCCCAACAGCCAACTGTATTGGAGGCTGAAGTGAGTCTAACTGGGAATGAGTGGCAAAAGCACCTCATTGTGACTGGCCCAGAGGCTCCGTGCATCCTTGGCATAGACTACCTCAGGAGAGGGTATTTCAAGGACCCAAAAGGGTACCGGTGGGCTTTTGGTATAGCTGCTTTGGAG